GATCGGACCGGCCAAAGGCACAGGGGATGGCCAAGATTAACCTGGTCCAAACATATGGAAGGAGTCTCTTCCAGACTCCAATTGTCTTCTACCGAAGCTCAGACTCTGGCGCAGGATCGGGAACCTTCGAAGCTCTGTCTGACGCATCTGCCTGTGTAACCGGAAAGGAGAAACGGCCATAGATGGCAAACATGTGTAACTGTAGTTGAAAAGTCGATGGTTTCTGGATTTCAGTAGGTGTGAAAGAGCAAACTACCACTGACCTTAACGTTTAAATTAACCTAAACCATATGACCAACATTGGTCATCATCAGCCCAAGCAAAAGTCTGTTTAGCTTGGTGATGGTTAGCTTTGTCTAAACGAAGCGTAGGCATTGAAGCAAAGGTCTGAGCAACGATCACCTGTTGTCCCTACCCATAAAATCCTAGTAAATCAAAACATTATGGGATATTCGCATTACTCATGCATGTTTGCCACAAATTCTCTGAGTATCGAGATTCAATTGGCTAAATTAATCATGAAGATTAGCATGAACGAGGTATGCGAACACCATTGTGTCTTGAATGGAATAAAGTCAACGGAATACGATGTCCTTCCCATTCTCATAGTTTTCAAATCGAACTGACAATATTATCTAACTAGACATGCTGAACGCATACATTTCCTTTGGACAGTCATGTGGCTGCGGCAGTCGTTGACCAGAGTCCAGGAAGTTTCTGAGTTGTGAGTTGCAGATGCTTGAGTACGGTGTCGCTCCTCGAGTCAGCAGTTCCCACAGCAGTATTCCGTATGACCACTAAAGCAAACATATATAGATATTAATAAAAACTGCGAAATTTTGAGAATGTTTGTTTACAGTGATGTTTGTATAACTTGAGCACATTAACGATTGATTGCTCTTCTTCACCCAGAATAATAATGCGCTACATTTGACTCAGATTATAATAAGATTATAATATCCTGCAAATACGTAATACGTGTATAAAAGGGTGTAAAATTTTAAAAAATAATTCTTCCGTAGAATTCTTTCCTAATCTAAATAACTCTTTCGCTCACTTTTGGACATTTTCTTTTCTCTGAAATCCATTATTTGTATATCAGCGTCAGAGGAGCGACGAAAAAATATTCATATTTTATAATGAAGTTAATGTTGATTTTCGCAGTGTTTTATTTGATAGAGAATACAATAGACACTTTTCGACTCACTCGATGCTTGCCTTCAAAATGAAGTTCTGACAAGCTTCTGTTGTCACGTAATATTATCGAAAAAATAAAAATATCTGTTGTACCGTCTGTAAAATATGAGATGATAAGAAACCAAGATTGATTTTGTTATAAACTAGCATTTGCACATAGGCCTTCTGATACTGGTTAATAAATCATTGGTGATAGGAAAGATGAGACGACTAAAACATAATTCCTTTATGAGAGAGTTTTTCCCGGTGCTGAGATTTTTTGCTCTGTTATATGTTGATTATATGTGTGACTAGCAGTCAGATGAATTGAATTAAAACGTGTAAACTTTGTGGCTACTTACTTCTATGATATATCCGCTGCGTACACAGTAAGTTCAAGGAACTCGACGATGACTTTCTCTTTTGCTCATGGAGTAGACAGTGAGGCATTAGTTGTTGATGCTGTCTCTAGAGAACGCCCCATGGCAAGAACTTCTGTCTGATTTTCTTGGTGTTCTGGAGTATTCGCCTCAGAGATAGAAGATAGATTTCCATTAAATTGCTAATACGTTCTATGAGCTATTAGACCACGCTCTTTTGAGTTATTGGACGTTTTTTTGCGCCTATCTTAGCCATTGAAAATAGTCCATTATTCTGAGCCTCACCAGAGTACGCGTATTCATACGTGATTGTTGTCCCCGCTTCTTTTAGCAACATTTGCGCTCGTCAGTGTGACAGCGCAATCTTTTGTCAGATGTGAAGCAAAAGCTATGAAAAAAATATTTAAATAAATCCTTGAAAGCTTTCGGTAGGCTTAGTGTTCTTATCTGGAAGTAATCCCAGTCTGTCATTTGGCAGCTACGAACTGTCTCAATTCTAGTGCAGTTAGGGCGTTTCGACATCGATATAATTTCACTAATAACTTGCTCATTGTCCCTCATACCAGCTGCACTGATTTACTTTCTTTATATCACTAAGTAGTCACTTCCAGTAATTTGAAGCAAGCTTTCCAGCATCTTCAGAAAATGAGATCCCTTACTGTTACTTATGTTTTCCTTATATTTACTGTTTTATATGAAATTTTTTGTCATGCGGATGTTGTTGTTGTGTTATTGTCATCAAAGACTAGCAGAAGTTGAACAGGAAACATCCAAATTTATGACGTCCGATTTGGCCGACGATATACGCATGTTATGAAGTAGATCTTTACTTTCCTTTGCAACATGACGACTCATATATTTTACCTAGACTGATTGAGATTACGGGTACACTCCTGGCACGGCTGTAAATATGGAATGGAACATGAACATTTTTAGGTTCATAAGGAATATTTTTAATATTGCATTATTGTCTGTTTCTTACATCAATACACGCGACTTAGATTATCATTTAAATTTTCTATTATTAGTTCGTCGTTGACAGTTAGCGGAAACTTCAGATTGATAAACTAAATTATTTCTGTCGTTCTATTTCGTGCTGCTAGTCAACGGTATTGGTGGTATAATAAGATTAAATGTTGATTGCCTTAAAGAAAGCCTGTAGGATACATGCTGAAACGTAGTTATCCGATAGACTACGAAATTGCGTTTATGTAAAACTACTTTTGTGCTGTTTTTTAGTCTATTAATAGAGAGAACAGTCTACGTTGGATGATTAAGTTGGAGAAAACTGTGTAGAGGTCGAAAATGACAAAAATTAGACGAAGAGAATGATATAATGTACTAAGTAGTTATATCTCTACGATACTGAACCTTGATCCAGGAACAAGTAGGATAAATTTGAGTTTAGTATTTGTACTGAAGAACTTTCGAAAACTCTTGCAAATAAAGCCACAGTTCATAAGCAGTAACAGCAGTAGCCCATGTTATTTTCACTCTACTGGTACGCTATGCGTTATAATTTCAAATGGTAACCGAGGTTCCCGTGTATTACTTGAACAACTTGATTCGACTGAAATATTTAAAGAAATCATAATTGTACCACATCAGTTTTCGTGTTGAAGACACGACGATCATGGAGACTCTCCAGAGCCATCCATTTAACTGGCAGCCTCGTATGTCCTTCGTCCGGCAGGTAGTCCCTTTCGAACAGATCGAGCGCCAAGCCGAAGTCGGCAACTTTAACTACCAAGTCACTCGTGATCCTGACAAAGAAATGAAGTTTGAAAAGTTTACAGATCGCACTGGACCGCAGTCCTCTAGCGAAACCTACATGCAGTTTCGAGCTGCCAAATCTCGATGAACAAAGTTCAGACTAGACAGATACGACATCCCTTGAGCAACTTGGTGCGCGAAGTTCAACAACTCCATTACAACTAGAACCTAAAAACTAAATATCGCTATTATACGAGTAATTTCTAGAAAGTTGTCAGATTATAGATTTATAGGGTTTAAAATAGTAGTATTTTGATGGAATAATATTAAAACAAACGAAGCAGTCGAATGAAACGAAACTTCAAGGAAATGAAACTGCATAAAAATATATTTCAAAAACTTTAATCATAGAGACATTAAGGAATAAATTACGTAAATTAGTTACATGAGTGATGGAAGGTTGAGAACTACAGAAAAACAGGATCTGAACAATTAAAGCGATAAGTAAATAATGTCCTACATGGAAGAAGATTCAGAAAACAGCCAGTGCAGTGAGAAACTAGACAAGCGAAATGCACGTTTTCTAAATTTTTTAGCTTCCTTCTTGGTAGCCATAACATGATCAGCTAATCGATTTATAATTGGTCAAGACATGGAGAAGTTGATTCTAAGTTTATATGCTATATTTTCATTCATTTCTTTAGTCAAATACGCTTCTTTCTATGGTACAGTTAACCATTTGCCTGAAAGTGCTGTCTGAGCTTCTCAGAGGTTTGTGCCAAACTTGGACTGATGAAACTGTCCTGAAAGAGAATGAAATTCTACTTAGGAAATGTTTAGTTTCTTATGTAAACTAGCCGCATAGTTCAGACGAGATAGAACGTAAATGAAGTAATTGCGGACTCTGTCCATTGAACCGCAAACCAGCATGGCAGAACCTAAGATTAACTTGAGAATACGCTTCCTTCCAGGTCAAACATCGCAGATGCTGAATAGGACTGTTGTTCCAAATTTGTGACCTTCATGCTGTTGATAGAATAAACCGACGTCGTTCTCATCACTTCTTCATGTCTGTGCGTCTTAAAGCGCTTAAAACGTAAATTTGCATTTGACTGTTAGTCAGCCTTAAAGAGGACTATGCTACAAGTATTTTTTAAGCAAGTGTGAAGTGCGGTTATGTACAAAGTACCTTCTTGGTATCAGCAATGTACGAGCGCATATCTCGTTGAGCCATGTAGGGCAGCACCACCCACGGTGTGCCGTTATGAGCCATGGCGATGCCCAGTAGTCGCAAGACGTGAGGATGGTCGAAGTCCTTCATGATCGCACCTTCACGCAGGAACTGTTCGACGTCGTTTATGTTTC